CGTGAAGAAATACCAGCGCTCCGCTCGCATCCGCTCGCATCCGCTCGCCTCACTCTTGACAGGAAGTCTCGTTCACGAGGGATTGGCATGCTTGAGCCTGTTGCTCTCTGATAACACCCTCCTTCGTCCTGAAACAGGCCTTGCATGGGTGTGCCGGGAGAAACGATGAGATGGTCGGATTATCGGCTCCCGATTGCACCGCGCCTTGAAGACCCGGATGATGCGGAAGTTGCTCGCAGCCCCGCCTTCTGCGCCGTCGTTGCTCTCACTCAAGTCCAGCGCCAACTCCACCCAGGCCGGGACCACCACCTGAGAATCGAAGGTCGTGCCTATCTTGGCCTTAGGCTTTAAACTTTAGGAGCCTTCCTCCTGTCATTGCTACAAGTTGGGGCCCCGGCAAGGACGTCGAGCCAATTCCACGCCCAGCCATGCCCGACGAAGTAGGTTTTCGGCCCCGCGGCAGTGATGCGGATGAACATCTCTCCGGTGAAGAGAATAGCATACATCAGGTGCGCCACGATGAACCCCGGCTCCACAAACCTTTCCAACAACAGGGGGGATGCTTGATAAAAGGTTTCGGAGCAGATGAGGTGGACAGGCGCAGATGGCCCGGCAATGTTGTTGCAATAACACAAACATATACAGGTGCGCCCTGGAATGCCACTCAGATCAATGGACCACCAGGCTCGGGAAGGAACCGAATTCCAGGCTCCGCTGCTCGATTGCAACTTTACAACCGCTCCTAAGCCTTGAGCGCTAGCACTAGGAGCAGCGACCTTCCTTCAGGCCTGTTTTCTGGTGAAGGGCACTGAAAACTGGCTCGAAAAGCCACTGGGACATTGGACGACAGTGCTCCCACAGGTTGGATCCTCAATGACCACGGTAGAACCTATCCGACTTCCTACTTGTAGAGGCCTCTCTCAATTGCGAGTCTGTAGGGTCAGGACCCCACCCCCCTCCAGGCGAGCGATTTGTCCATGCATGTCCTGCTTCTCCCTCAGTTCTTCTTTCGGCGCGCCCTGATTGTCGGGTTTAGGGCAGTATCCTCCCATGTAGCTTCGGTTCTGTCCATGACCGAGACAGATCCTTCTTCCCAGCCTGGCCTGTCGACGCGCAGCGCGCTCCACTCCAGCTGCATGCCCAGAAAAACGGAGTTGGACATGATGATAACGGCAAAGAAGACGTTGAACCAAAGGTTTTCGGCCACAAGCCGTGCTTTCTGCTGCACGTCCGTGCAAAAAACTCCTCGGCTGTCAGAAGGCGAACCTCTGGAACGCAGCAGACGAAAAAGGCGTGAAGGGCTTTGTCCCAAAGCCTCAATTCAAATCCAGTGCGTTGTGAAGCAAGTGCAACAGAGGATCGGAGCGCAGTGGGTTCCTGGATTTTGTCAGTTGTGGACATCATCTGCTTGAAGGTCTCCACGTCAGTACCGCGGGCCTAGGCAGTCAGGGACATGACCGTGCTCTTCCTTGAAACCGTCCGTGTATGGTGTAGGGCCAGGGAAGCTCTGCTTGTGAGCACCTAAAACTCCAGAAGTCTCTCCCTCTCAAATGTCCACAAAACCAGATGTCCAGAGAGGCTCCTTGGCCACTTCGTAGCTCCAGGTCCTCTTAAGCGACGGTTGGCCAAGACGGGCAGCGGCAGCAGCGGCAGAAGTCGGCTGGGCGATGTCGTCACTCAACGTCCTCTCCTGTCGTGTGTGGCAGGGATCCCCGCCTTTTTGTGCCATTGATCGAAATTTCAAGGTTCTACGAGTAGGGAAGGCTTCGGCCAGCCTCATAGCTCTGGGAGCCACTTGGGCGTCATCCTCAGGATCATCATCCTCATCATCGTCATCATCATCATCAGCAGCAGCAGCGACATCATTGGATTGATTGGCACGGTCATCGACTTCCGTGCATGGTCGTCGTGACCAGCATGGGCAGCAGCCTCTCGTTGCCATAAGCATCATCATCAGCAACATCACCATCACCGTCATCGGTCCCATCTGCAGTATCACCTTCGTCTGCGTCATCATCTTGTTCCTCATCCTCCCTAGGATCACCCTCGCCTGCGACGTCACAAGTGTCCTGGCTCAAACTCTTAGCCTCAGCCCACAAGGAAACGGCCCTGCACGACCTTTCACTCTTTGCCTGGACTCCATCCCGAAGACGACCTTTCACTCTTTGCCTTGACTCCATCCCGAAGACGAATGGACCGGCGCCGCGGCTTCGGATCTGCCTGTGAAAGGTCATGCCGAGCGGGGAGGAGCGAAGACGCTCGGGGTTTGTGACTATGCTGTGCCGAGCGGTCCTGGTCGTTCTCAGTATCAATGTTAAACGTCCAGCTTAGGAACTAGTTGCTCGCCGTGCTCGCAGTCCGCATTTAATCCCGGGATGCTTCACAGGTGTGCTGGAAAATACGCAGGTCTTCGAACCTGTACACAGCCTCGAGCAGCTGCGAGGTGCTTCGAGTTTGCAGCGAGTCTCGGGCTTCAGAGAAGACGACCCCTTGGCCCCCTGCTTGGCCTCTGGGAACTGCGCTGCATCCGCGGAGAGCAGCTGCCTCCCCAGAGAGCGAAGCGGAAAGCCCCAGGCCGAAGGCCAAAGAAGAAGGTGCAAACAAAGAAGGTGCAAACAACGCGCCTCTCCATGGAGCGCTCCAGCTTCTGAAGCCACTCATCCTCAGGTTTAAAGGCTCATAGAACTCAGAGACGGGGAGGAAGGGAGAGTGGGAGGGGCAGGTGCGCAGGTCGCAGGCAGGGCTCCAAGTGGCGAATCAGCTCCTCATGCTGTCCTCAGTGGAGCAAGGAGCGGAGCCCGCGAAACCTACAAATCTGCACTTTTTGAACCCCTGGCGCGTGGGCGACAGCACAAATCCGAAGGTCTCACGCCGAGAAGCTTTGCAGGACCTGGCAGGTCTCGCGGAAACTCGGAGCTCCACGCATGGATTTGGCTCTGACTGTTGCTTTTGAGCTTCCACGTTTGTGCAAAACTCCATCGGGATTGCGTGCGAAGTCCTGTAGCCTGAAGCTTCCCTGCCCCCGTTTACCAAGTCCTCGGAGCACAAGGCTGGCGCCTCCTCCAGCTGCTCGGTTTGCTTCGGTGGCGGCTCACCATCCATCGTGCAGATTTCACTGCAAGGAGCCGTCTCCTAATGAAATAAATGTGCGTCATGTCTACGTGCTCTAAGCGGACTTTGAGAGATTCCTGTGCTGCCTTGATCTGAAGCTCTGGGGGATTTTTACGTTTGGGGCTCTGGGCTTGAGCACTGGGAGCCTCTCTCGGACCCTTCGGAACTCCACCTTCGTTGCTGGCAGCAAAAGAGAGTTTTACAACTTGCAAAATGTGCAAAAGGAGCTACAGGAGCACTTTGCCACCCGAAAAAAGCTTAGACACGCAAGCCAAGCAAGCTCTCATGCAATTCCACGCCTTTTTGGATTAAAACACGCTTGTCGAGCATCCGGCGGAGTGACGCCAGATGTCTCTCTGGCACCTTCGCGCCTTCCTCCATCGTGAAGCTTTTCATCGCCAGATATTAGGCCCTAAAATGCACACTTCAAGTTCCCCCAGAATGAGCTAAATCTTCAGACAGGGAGTTGCAGGGATCCGCCAGCACGTGGTACAGTGAAACGAAAGGCTGTGCTGAGACCATTCCCGTCTCCCCACAGGGGCAGGGTCGAAGCTCGTCACTAAAAACGAGAAAGCAGAAGAGCAAAAGCAAGAGCACAAACTGCAACAGTAGCAGCAGTAGGGGCGGCAGGGGTAGTGGTAGTGGTGGAAGTAGAAGTAGAAGAAGGTGTAGAAAAAGAAGTACAAGTGCAAGTAGTAGTAGTAGTAGTAGTAGTAGTAGTAGTAGGAGTAGTAGTAGTAGTAGTAGTAGTAGTAGTAGTAGTACTAGTAGCAGTAGTAGTAGCGGCAGCGGTAGTAGTAGTAGTAGTAGTAGTAGTAGTAGCAGCAGCAGCAGCAGCAGCAGTAGCGGCAATAATCAGCAGTAGTAGGAGTAGTAGTAGTAGTAGTAGTAGCAGCAGCAGCAGCAGCAGCAGTAGTAGTAGTAGTAGCAGTAGTAATAGCAGCAGTAGTAATAGCAGCAGTAGTAGCAGTAGTAGCAGAAGTAGCAGTAGTAG